AAAAAAAATAAATAAAGCAGTGCCTGATACATGAGCACTTAAGCCCCCAGCCCATTATCTGATAAAACTGTTCCCTCTCCCGAACTCAGGATCGGTCAAAGGCCCCACGCCGGTTCTCAAACTCAACATAAAAAAGGACGCCCCTTTACCCCTAAAATCTCTGCCTCCGCCCGCCCACCCCCTTTCACCGGTCCGTGGCTAAATTTACACTCCCGACCCCACTCCCGCCGGTTAAGCCTCGACCGGCCTCACATGGTGGCAGTGGCTGCGTTTTCTAGTCAGCACCGTCTCCTCCGCGCTTCCTCGGCTTCAGAAAAGAGAACACGAGAGAGGCGGGACTTCCGCTTCCTGTGGCCCACTTCCGTGGGCGCCTGCGCAAACTCAACTCTGTGGGGGCGTGGCCTGTTGTTCCGTAGTGGTCCCCGCCAGCCTTGCGCATCGCTGGGTAAAAGCCTTGCTTAGTGGTTCAAGGCCATTCAGGACCATAAAGGACAGATGTTCACAACAATGGAGAGAAAAAGACAGAGGGTCCGACTCAAATCATTTCGTTGTAAAACAGCACAGGTTGCGAGAAGGACACTCTTTCTAAATGCCCGCCGGCCCTCCCTTCGGAGGCGCGGCCTTGGAGAAGCCAATCCACTCTGCACTTCAGGAACAGACTCCGCCCCTTTCCTACAGTGTCGGTTCATTTACGTATCTATTGATCTTTTCGACAACCCAAAACCAATCCTTTGCCTACATCCGGGAGGGGCGTGGACCTGTGCCCGTTAAATCGAATGTTTTCCATTGTCAAACGCTTCTCATTGGCTTCCCTTTCAACGCTTGAGGCGGGGCCTACCCCTTCTTGCTCCCTTAGTTGTGCAACCCTCAGCGGAACCAACGCCAAAAGCCCTAGGGAGACAGTGAGGTGGAACCGGAGGGTGGAATGGTACAACCGCTCTTGTTATTCATTGGTCCGGTGATTCTATGGGGTGGGACTTGGCTGGGCCTAAATTCGATCCGCAGACCGGGACCGGTTTCAGGGCGAAGCTGCCATGCGTTCCGGGGGCCGCGGGCGGCCCCGGCTACGGCTCGGGGAACGAGGCTTCTTGGAGCCATCCTCACCGCCCAGTCTCCGCCTGCTACCGCGGGCGCAGCTGTTGCCCTTGCTGCTGCTGGCTCTGGCCGTGGCCTCGGCGTTCTACACCATCTGGAGCGGCTGGCACCGCCGGACTGAAGAGCTGCCGACGGGCCGAGAGCTGCGGGTAAGGCCTGGCGGGAACACGGCCACCGCGGGGGCGTTCATTACCCGTCTCCCCCTGTCCTAAGGTCTCAGGTTGACGTGGCTTTATCGTGTAGCCATAGCCGCAGGTGCCGTGGTTTCGGTCATTAGGACGCATGCCCCTTGTTAATAGAATGAGGCTTCAGGTTTGTTCTGTATAGTGGCTCCCTCTTAAGAGGAAGGGTTTGGAGTAGTTGTGAGTTCTAATCCTAAACTCAACTATTTGGAAGAGTCCCTTCCTCTCGCTAGGTCTCGATTTCCCCTTCAGGATTGGGGTGGGCTGGACCAGATGGGCTCTGAGGAACTTTTCCTGTGTCTAGGATTTATCCTAGAAACCTCCTATGCTGGAGGCCGCGATAAGGAAGAGGAACCCAGCTTCTTCAGGGCGACGGCGTCTGGGGTAGCGTCGGAATGGGGTTTGTTCTCACGCTCTGCTCTTCTCTTCCCCAAGGGCCCATTGATCGGAAGCCTCCCCGAAGCCCGAATGCGGAGGGTGGTGGGGCAACTTGACCCACAGCGTCTTTGGAACACTTACCTGCGTCCCCTGCTGGTTGTGCGGACCCCGGGCAGCCCAGGCAATCTCCAAGTCAGAAAGGTAAAGGGCCACACCTGACCCTGTAGACCACAGGGAAATGGGAAATAGGTTTTCTGCCCTATTTCCCAAAGCACTAAATTTTGAGTGGAGCTAATCTGGCTCTAGAGCAGCGATTCTCAACCTTCCTAATGCCGCGACCGCTTAATACAGTTCCTCATGTTGTGGTGACCCCCAACCATAAAATTATTTTCGTTGCTACTCTATAACTGTAATTTTGCTACTGTTGTGAANTGTGTTCTCCCCATAGATTAATTTCCTCATCTTTATCCGCATTCTTGGCATCCTCGTGTCCAAGCTGAGGACACGGCAGATGCGCTGCCCAGACTACCGGCTGAGGTGGGGGAGGGCAGTAGGGACGAAGGGGAAGGTGGCCCGGTGTGAAATGGGGGACCTGGGGCCGCGGGACCACTGCCACCCTCTACCCCCAGGCTGGCTCGCTCCACACTGACGCTGGCGCCCTTGCTGGGTGTCCATGAGGTGGTGTTTGCTCCCGTGACAGAGGAACAGGCCCGGGGCACCCTGCGCTTCGCTAAGCTCGGCTTTGAGATCGTCCTCAGCTCCTTCCAGGTGCTCAGGCTGGGCGCAGGGGCTACATCCTTCGACCTGGGACCCTTCTGCCCGGAGGGGCAGGAGGGCTACAGTCATCCTCCGGCGCAGCCATTGAATGGGATGTGACGATGGGATTCGGCTAATTCATTCCACACAAAATACTGACCTAGCGCTGTCCTGAGCAGAGGAAGCAGCAGGGAACAAGACAGGGGATGGGTGGTCTCCGCTGTACTGCCTCCTGGTGGAGATCAGGGGCTCTAAGACCTGACAGGGCTGGGACCAAATCAGGTCTGTCACTTCCCAGCTCTGTGGTCTTCACATCAGGGTAGAAGCTAAGGTGAGGCAAGAGAGGTGCTTGAAGCACGAAATGTAAGGAGGCACTCACTCCAAAATTTAAAACTGACCCTGCACTTGCTTGTCCTGCCCTAGTCCCTACCATACTTTACCTTGTTGGGCCTCAGTTTTCTCATCTCTGAAGTGGGGTCAACGCTAGTGTCTCCCCACAAGGCTGTTCATTCATTAAATTCAGCAAACATTTATTGAAAACTTACTATGTGCTAAGCACTCTTCCCGGTTTACTGTGGGGATAGAGCCAAGAACCAAATGGTCCCTACCCTCTGGGAGAGACAGCTGCTAAGCAAGCTATATGAGTAAAACATACAGAATAGCAGGTGGTGAGATGTGCCTAGAACGGGGGGGGAATAAAAGCAAAAAACAGTGGTGAGGATCCAAGAAGGATGAGGCTATAGACACGGGGTCAGGGAAAGCCTCCCTGAGAAGAAGACATGGGGAACAGAGACTGGATGAAGGTGAGGGATCCAGTGAGGCAGATATTTTGGGGAAATGTTCCAGGAAGAGAAATCTCAAGTGCAAGATCCCTGAGGTGGCAGAGAGTATGTGTGGTGATGGAGGAAGGCTGGCATGCCTGAAGGAGTGGGAGCCAGTGGGAGCAAGGTGGAGATAGGACAAGTAATATCTTAACAATAACATATAAATAATTGATTTGTATGAATGTACCAAGTAATTTATTAATTATAAATGTTTTATATTTATTTAAATTTATATGTAAAATGTATACATTTATACAAATATAAAATAACTAATGGTTATTTATTAAGAATTCATAATAATCATTAACAATTAAAATTAAGTAAATAATAATCATAATAAATTGATTTATTAATACTTAATAATGATTATATCTTATATAATAATGGTAAGATAAATTATAATGAAGTTAAGGAAAAGGTTTAACACTCTGTGTCAAGCACTACAGCTTCTTGCATATTAATACCTCACTTCTCACAACCACCACTGTAATACTCCATTTTCCAGATGAAGAAACTGAGGCCCAGAGGGGTTAAGCAGCTTGCCCAAGTGGGGAAGAAAGTACGGAAGCCGTTATCACATCCAGGGTCCCCTGTTCTTAACCTCTTCATTGCTCAGCAAACCTGAGAGAGTAAGGGGAAGGGCCGAAAGCCAGGGTGTCTGCAAAAGTCTAGGAGCAGGGTGGCAGCCAAAGTGGCCTGGGGCCTGGCAAGGGTCCGAGCTCTTAAAGGGGTGTTTATAATCCTGCCCCCACCCCACCCCGATTTAACCCCGTACCTCTTCCGGCAGGGCTTGCTGGTCAGCGTCCTCTACTGCTTCATCAACAAGGAGGTAGGGAGAGCTCCGACCGGCCCCCCTGCGCCCTCTGGCGGCCGCGCAGGGAACGGCGCGCCTGGCACCGCCTCTGAGTGCCATTCGGTTGCAGGTGCAGTCGGAGATCCGCCGTGGCTGGCACCGCTGTCGCCTGCGCCGCAGCCTCAGCGAGGAGCAGCGCCAGCCCTCCGAGCGCGCCTCTGGGTCCCTGCCCTTGGGCTTCGGACCCGGCCAGGTCGCCAACCGCCGTGTCCGGTCCTCGGGTACTCTCCCAGGGCCTGGGGATGCAGCCAGCCAGGTCTTGGAAAGTGACTGCTAGGCAGTGAGATTCCTGTGTTCGGTTAGCATGTATTTATTGAGCGCCTACTGTATACCAAACTCTGTGTGGAGGGCCTGGGGGAAATGGGGGTTAAGGAAACAGAAGACAAGGTCCCTGTCCTCCTTGAGTTCACAATTCAGTGGGGGAAACAGACCGTGAAGGCAATACATCAAGTTATACATAACGCTGTGGAATGGCTTATGAAGAAAAATTCAAAGGGGAACTAAGGGGGTCTGGAAGTACATCTCTGAGGAGGTGACATTTTTATGCCATGCTTGCAAGAGATGAAGGAGACAGCTTTGGGAAGAACTGGAAGACAAGATTCTACACAGAAGGAACAGCATCTGCAAAGGCCCTGGGGCAGGAAGGAGCTTAGACATTCTTAGGAATAGAGAGGTGGCCTGCATGGCTGGAGTGGGATGAGTCAGAGCCAACAAAAAGGGAGAGAGAAGTGGGCAGGAGCACAGGAGTTGGGATTTTATTCCAGGTGCACTGAAAATTCTTAGCAAGAGCATCTCATGGGCTCATGGTTTAAACAGATCCTTTTGTCTGCCCTGTGGGCGGAACAGATTATTAGGGGCAGGGGTGGAAGCTGGGAGCCTAGTAAGAAGACTGCAAGTGGGAGTTGATGATGGCTGGACCAGAGTGGTGGCCATGGAGGGGCATGAAATGGTTGGATTTGAGAGCTGTTTTAAAGGTAGAACTACGGATTTGGCAATGTTTTGCATGAAGAAAGAGTAGCAAGAAGTCCAGGAAGACTTACTAGGTTTGGGACAGTGGAGAGAGTGAGAGATGGGGTCCAGGGTGGGGAGAACCAAGCTGGGACTAAGGGTCTGGGGCTCATAGGAGAGGTCAGAGCTGGAGACAGAAAGGTGAGCGGCACTAGGGTCTCGAGAGGATTCAGTGTGTAGATATAAACATGGGCAATCCAGGGTAGGCCTCAGAGCTGAAACCTGACATCCAGAGGCCAGGGCCGCGGCTAGCTGGGGAGCGTGGCCACACATCCCCCACCCTCCTGGGCAGCCCCTGGGAACTGGGAGAATTGAGGGGAAGCCAATAGCTTCATTGTAGCTGGACCACCTGTACACACACAAGACCCTCACTCCTAAATCCTTCCCCTCCACAGATACACACTTAGATTCAATTAGTACCTGGGTGTTGTCTGTTATTTTCCTTGGGGTCCCCAGCTCCCTGGACAGATCAACTGAGTCCTTTAAGCATCAGGTGCCCCTGCTGGACCCCCCTTGTGGGTTCTGGGAGGGTAGGGCTCTTGTAAATAAAGCATGAGAAACAGTTCTTTTCTGTGGGTTTTTTGTTTTTGTTTTTTGTGCGATGAATCTTCTTGGCCAGGCCACAAAGGGGAATGACAGAGGCGGGCTGCATGGCTAGATACCTATGGTGGCCTCACACCCACTGCAAGGTAGCACTGCACATCTTCAGCCACGTTGCCATAAGAACATGGACATCATGCTGCCACTGTCTAAGAGAAAGCCCCAACTGGAGATGTTTATGATCTCCTGGATAATTTAACTATATGCAATGTATACAAATAAAATGTGCAGGCCTGCTGAGTGGCTCAGTTGGTAAGAGGGTGAGCTCTGAACAGCAGGGCTGCCGGTTCGATTCCCACTTGCGACAGTAAGCTGCGCCCTCTAGAGCTAAGATTGTGAACAACAGCTCGACCTGGAGCTGCGCTGCTGTGAGTGGCCAGGGACAGCGTAGGTTGCAGTGGGCTGCCATGAACTACCGTGAGCGGCAGGCAGACGGCGAGAGCTGCTGTCCAATGGCTGGCGACCGACTGCCTCAGCCGGGAAGAGCGCAATGATCATAATACCAACATGGGCCAGTGAAGCAGCATCCTCCACAACTAGACTGAAGAACAAAAGAACAACTTGGCTGATTCCCCTCCCCCAATTTCCCAATAATATCTAAAAAAAAAAAAAAAAAGTGTGTGCACTTGTGCCAAACATTTTCTGAGGGCTGCTTCTCTAGGAAGGCAATGTAGGAGTAAAGCTGCAGGAAACAGCCTGGTTCAAATCTTAGTTTGGCAACTTACTAGCTGTGTGACTTGGGGAAAATTCTCAGCCTCCCTGTGCCTCAGTTCCTACTTCTGGAAAATGGGTGTCCAGTGAGTTACTCTAAGGTTACTGCCTGGAGCACGAAGCACAGTGAACGCTTGGCATGGTGTCATTCCTGCAGCCTCTGCTTTCACTTTCACCACAGAAGCCCGAGGTGATCAGGAACCATTTGGGCAGGGAGGTGGGTGTAGAGGTAAGGATGAAAATTCAGACTGATGCCAAGCAGGGTGCCAGGCTGGAATCTTTGCTGCCAGCTTGCAAGGCAGGGGAACCAAGTTCCATCTCCCAGGGAAGACATGTCAACAACCAGGGCAGGTGGGACAGATCTCACACAGGACTGAGACTCCAGGGCTTGTCCCTCCTTGCTCCTGCACATGAACCTAATCACCTGGGACATCTCCTGCGGCACCGTCCCCACTTTACAGATTATTGTGGCTCCATCCTACCCCCTCCCCCACCACGGTCAAGGCTGTTCATGAGGACCTGGCTCCCTAAGCTTGAACGTGGATCCATCATTCCCTGAGTGACGCTGGGCAAGTTATTACCCTCTCTGGGCCTCAGCTGTCTCATCTGTAAAATGGGATGGCTCCAGTATCTAACCCACAGATGGATGTTCCAATTAGACCACCCAGTAAATGTGTGACTTTATGTCCCATAGCCATCGCCCTGTGTGTCAGGCCCCCAGGGCCCCCAGCTTTGCCACCACCGGGCTCACGGGGTAACTCAGGCTGTGCCTTCCACAGTTCAGTGTCAGACACAGACCCTGACCTCAGGCCTTCCAACTCCTGCAGCCACCTGGCATTCAGCCCTATCTGAGGACAGAGACAGAGATGCACACAAAGAGATCTAGGTTGGGGAGAGCCTGATGTGTATCAGAGGAATCTCCCCCCAATAAGTAAGGCCCCCTTTCTCACCTCTATTTCCATGCACTTGTCAAAAGAATCTCTCTCAAGAGAAATCAGGTTCTAATTTGAGGGGCAGCAGAGCTCAGGGGTTAAGTCACAGGCTCAGGAGCAGGATGGGTTTGAATCACAGCACCACCACTTCCTGGCTGGGTGTCCCTGGGGAAGTGACACCTCTTCTGTGTGCCTCAGTTCCCTCTTCTGGAAACTGGAGGTAATAAAGGATCATGCCTGTTCAGAGGGGTTGGGAGAAAGTCTGAACAGCACCGGGGTAGGGCTGGCACCTTAACATCTCAGCAGGTGATAGCATGATTGCTATCAGTATTTGAATACCGACTGCTTTGAACGTGTATCCCCTACTGTCAGTGAGGGCAGGTCGGGGGCTCTCCAGGCACTAATGTGCCCACAGCATTGTCACAGAGCTGAACACAGAAGAGGCACTTGAGGGATGTTTCCTGACTGAACAACTGGAAAAAAAGACTGGAAGAAATTTCAAGCAAGGCTGACTTGTTGAGAGACAGGGAGAAAGGAGAGCCAGGGTGACAAGGTAAAGATAGAAAATATTAAAATGGGAAAAAGCAAAAGCTCTTTCTATCTGATTCACTTCACAAATGGGGAAACTGAGGCCTGGAAGGGACAGACAGGGCCTCTTCACCTGCTCAGAGAGGTCCAGATCCCAGCACTTGGCTCCATACAGAGCTGCCTCCCGCCCCACCAAGCCACCCCACTCACCAGGCCCTGAGAACAGACAGAGGCCACTAGAAAAAACACAGGACTTTTATTCCCATCTCAGAGGGCAGGTTTTTGCAGGATGTGGAAGCAAGTTCTGACGGTGGAGGGGAGAGAGGCCCCTACTTGCCAGCGATGAGTGGGTTACGCAGGACCACAATGACTGAGTCCCCTCGCAGGAACATCTTAGAGATGTAGCGGTCCTTGTTGACTGGCTTGGACTTCTTCTTGCCCTTGCCACTCTTGGGGACCTCGGTCCACATCTCCTTCACATTCTCCAGTACCATGTTGCAGTGCCTGNGGTTCTTACTGTCTCTTTTCTGAATCTGTCTCTGGGCATCCTGGTCTTCCTGTCCTAATGAGCTATGTGGCCCAGGACAGTTTATTTAACTTCTTTATGCCTCAACCTCTTCATTGTAAAATGGGATTGATGATAGTACTATTTCCATGGCTTCTTATTAATATTAATTAATTAATTAATTAATACGTGTAAAATGCTATAGGAGGGTTTTTATCATCATTACCACTTTGGCTGTCTCTCTCTCTGCCTTTGTATGACAGTTGGTCTTTCTGTCTCCGTCTCTTTCTCTGTGCCTCTGATCGCATACAGTGGCTGCAGGCTTTGTCTTCCGCCAGTGTGGCAGTGATGGCCAATGGGGACCTTGGAGAGACCATTCTCAGTGTGAGAACCCAGAGAGAAATGGGACTTTTCAGGTAAGAAGAGGTTAGGGATTCTGGTTGGATGTCCAAGGAGAGGTTAAAAGGCAGCATCCTCATACCAAACCTGAAACCCCTTGTAGTATTCAGAACTGTGGGCTCCAAGGGATAGAAACTCATCTTAAACTTGCTTGATAATGGGGGGGGGAGGGAATGTAAATGTATAGGCTTCTGTGACTGAAAAGTATAAGATCACAGCTTCAGGCACAGCTGGATCTAGGTGCTCAAATGATGTTGTTGGGAATCTCTTTGTCTCTCACCATACCGTGCCTATGTTTTTCTCTGTTCTGGTCTCATCTTTTCTATGGGGTGGAAAAGGTGTTCCCCATTAGCACCAGGCTCACACCCCACCAAGCAAGCAACACTGCAGAGCTTGAACTTCATTCTCAATAGTTCTAGCATAAAAATGACCCAGGACTAACTCTTATTGGCCTCATTTGGGTCATATGCCCACCCTGGACTAATCACTGTGTGTGTGTGTGTGTGTGTGTGTGTGTGTGTGTGTGCGCGCGTGCGTGTGTGTGTGTGAGATGGGGGGGTTAGATAGAATGCTCTGATTGGTTGGTCACATGTCCAGCCCTAGGCTGAGTGGTGAAGTCAGCCCCACTCAAATAAGAGTAGTTGGATCCCCAAGAGAAAATTGGGGTGCTGGGCAGGAACAAAGAGCAAATATCCTTCCAGCCCCTTCTGGTCCTGGGGGAAGAGCTGAGCTCTGTTGCTGTGTCCCCTGCTCCCACAGGACCAAAGGCTGATCTTGGAACGGCTACAGATTGTGTACACCGTGGGCTACTCCCTGTCGCTGGCCACACTACTGCTAGCTCTGCTCATCTTGAGTTTCTTCAGGTGGGACGCCCCAGCCTGGAGCAGCAGTGGCAGAGACTGGGCCCCAGTTTGCCCAGTAAGATGGAGTAGTCAGACTCCACCATCACAAGCACCCAATGGTGGTTCTGTGTGAAGACAGGCTAAGGGGTGGTTTGAGGGGCTCTAGGTGGCCAAGAACAGGTCTCCAGAGGTCTCCAGACTGCCTCCCAAACCCCCTAGGCGGCTGCACTGCACTCGCAACTACATCCACATCAACCTGTTCACGTCTTTCATGCTGCGGGCAGCAGCCATCCTCACCCGAGACCGGTTGCTACCTCCATCGGGCCCCTCCCCTGGGGACCAGGCCCCTATCCTGTGGAACCAGGTGAGCTTCATCCCTCTCTTTCTCATATTGGGACTCTGCCTCCTCTGATGGGACTAGGAGGTTTCCAATCTGTTTACTACTTCCTACATTATCAACAGTATCTCTCTCGACCCCTCCAAACACATTTGGAGAGGGGCCCTCCCAACTCAGCTTCCTCCATTGTTGGCCCCATCACCTCCTTTAATGGAATTTTCAATTCCCTTTCTCTCACTATCTTACCTCTCATTGGACTTTTCCAACAATGAGAGTCTTCTGCTGGAGGTGAGGAAGAGACAGGGTGGGAAAGACTAACTGTTGGGGGAGGATTTGGTAGATATCAGTTTGTGACTGGGAGACAAAGTGGGAGAGACTAGAGACTGGGAGCAGAGGCAAGAAAAACGATCTGGTGATGAGTTGGGCCATGCCAATTATTAGGGAACCATGGGGTGGGAGAGTCCATATGCTGGTGGGAGAGGGGTGATGAAATGGGAGAAACTTTTGGATAAGTGGAGTAGTTGAGTTTAATTCTTAGAAGGAGATGGGGTGGGTGAGGCCATATCTGGGGGCTCTGAAGGGAACTCTGATAGCAAAATGGAAGATACCAATTGTTTAAGAGGTTAGAGTGGGAGACTTCGTGTACAGTGAGAGAAACCAACTACAGATACCATCCTTTGGTGATGTAGTGTGGGAGAATATTTGATGGCAAGAGCTGGGGATGGAAGGACACCAGGTAGAAGGCTTGGGGGCAACCTGGTCGGCCCTGACTGCCACCTCCCTGTCTGGCCACCCAATTAGGCTCTAGCTGCCTGCCGAACAGCTCAGATCGTGACCCAGTATTGCGTGGGCGCCAACTACACGTGGCTGTTGGTGGAGGGCATCTACCTGCACAGGCTTCTGGTGCTTGTGGGGGGCTCCGAGGGGGGCCACTTCCGCTACTATCTGCTCCTTGGCTGGGGTGAGCCCCGACCCTGTCCCCTGCCCAGCCCAGCGCGCCTCCGTTGCCCCACTACCCTGCAGGTTTGCCTCAGGTCTCCTCCTGTCTCTAAGCTTTTGCCTCCCCATCCGGGCGTGGGAATTCCGCGGGTCTTGGGCCTGGCGGGGCCCGTGCGCACGCTGACAGCTGTGGCGGGGTGGGGGGCGGGGATCGGGGTCTGCACAGGGGCCCCCGCTCTCTTCGTCATTCCCTGGGTGATCGTCAGGTACCTGTACGAGAACACGCAGTGAGTCGCGGGGTCTGGGGCTGGGCCTGGGAGGTGGGAGGGGCTTTGAGGGACATGGGCGGGGTGTGATGGAAACGTGGGGTGGTTCTCATGGCACCTAGGGGCTTGGAGGGGACGTGGTGTGGTCTAAAGGAATGGGAGCTTGGAAAGATTGTGTTCGTAGACTACTGGAAGGGATGGGATGAAGGCAGGGACCTGGATAGTAGCGGGAGGGGCTTTAAAGGAATGTGGGTGCGGCATTATGGAAGGTGGGCGGGGCCTGGAGAGTGAATGAGTGATCCGGTGCATCTAGTGGTTTTCAAACTCAGCTCTAAAACCCTTCCTCCAGGTGCTGGGAGCGGAACGATGTTAAGGCCTTTTGGTGGATCATACGCACCCCTATCCTCATGACCATCTTGGTACGGCCAGCTCCGCCTCCTCCAGGCCGTCCTCAGGGATTTCCCATCTTGGAAANTGCTACTCTATAACTGTAATTTTGCTACTGTTGTGAATCGTAATGTAAATATCTTTTTGTTTTCCGATGGTCTTAGGCGACCCCTGTGAAAGGGTTGTTCAACCCCCAAAGGGGTCGTGACCCACAGGTTGAGAACCGCTGCTCTAGAGTAACCACCAGGCTGTACTGCCGTTTGTACTGCCCTCACTAAAAGCTTACTATGTGGTAGGCACAAGTAACAGTCCTTTGAGGTGGGTACCTATGTGATCTTCATTATGCAGATTGGGAAACTGAGGCCCAGAGCAGTTTGGCATTTTGCCCAAATCCCACAGCTAATGAATGTTGTACCTAGGGTTTCAACCCAGACAGGTTGGCTCCAGAGCTGGTGCTGTAACATCCCTATATTGCCTCCCAGAAAGCATCGAGAGTCATTTTAATACTGCCTCAGTTCAAAAACCACTTCAGCCACTTATAGTGTGACCTTGTAGTCGTTTCTTAAGCTCTCTGTGTCTCAGTTTCCTCATTGGCAAATTGAGCCATTGATGGTCCCTACCTCATAGGGTTCCTAGATCAGGGCTTGGCACACAGTGAGTGCTACTGAAGAGTCAGCTGTGATTAGTCTTGGCATCAAGAAGCGGGGTCACTCCACACGTGGCACTTAGTAGGTACTCAGCAGAAGTGTCAAAGGAATGATTTAAAGCAAAGTGGGACTTGTGAGTCAACCCAACTGCTCTGCCTGGCTCAGGTCATGTGGCCCTTCTCCCAACCTCCTCCCCAGTTTCCCACCCACCGTCCCACCTCTCTATTGCCACTAGTTCCTGGAGGCCACTTTGAGGGCCCTGACGGCAGGCTGGCATGTGGAACTGGACCCCTTCACGGCCTCAACGCCCCTGGGGCCACTGGACTTTGCTAACGTGGTGGCCACACTGGACCCAGGAGCTGCCCGTCACCTCACCCTTGCTTGCCATTATGACTCAAAGCTCTTCCCATCTGGGTCGGCTCCCTTCGTGGGGGCCACGGATTCAGCTGTGCCTTGTGCCCTGCTACTGGAGCTGGCCCAGGCCCTCGACCAGGAGCTAAGCAAGGCCAAAAATCAGGTGAGGAGCAGGGATAGGGTGGGATGGAGGTCAGGGGCTGCCTTTACCTTGGTCAAAACCACCACTCCTTCCCTGGTCTTGTCTTCCTGCCTCCACTCCATACACAAAGCCACAAGGATCTTTCCACCTCCTAAATGTCAGATCCTGTCCCTCTTCTGCCCTAAACCCTCCCATGGCTCCTACCTTGTTCCATGTATCAGCCAGAGTTCTTAGAGTGGCCCATCATGTGTGTCCTGTTTCCTCTCTAGTCTGTTCTAGCCACCCACCGCCTCCGTGTACCTCAAACCCACAAGATTCACTCCCACCTCAGGGCATTTGCACTTGCTGTTCGCTCTGCCTAGAATGTGCTTTTTTCAGCTTTTCTTCCTTGCTGGCTCCCATCCTTCATTTAGGTGTCCACTCCAGTGTCACCTCAAAGAGGCCTTCCCAACCACCTTAAAATAGCTCCTTGTCACTATCCCATGATTTATGGAGTTTTATGTTAATTTATCTGTGTCTCCTAGCTAGAATAAGTTCCATCTAGGCTGGGACTTGGCTGCTTTTGTTTCTTTCTCTATTCCCTGGGCCCAGAATGTTGCCTGACATAAAGTAGGATGTCAGTAAAAATGTATGGAATGAATGAATGAAAACACAAGTCTCCTCATGTGCCTCCTCTGCTTAGGCCTTTCTTCCATGGCTTAAACACCAGTGTCCCAAAGCCCAAGCTCCCTGGCCCTTGCTGACCCCTTGGGCCTCTTTTCAAACCTCTCTGGCCCCAGCTCTAGTCCACGTTGCATCCTTGCCTGGGAACACTCGTCCCTCTGCCCCATTTTGCCAGGTCAGCTCCCACTCACCCCCAGTGCAAACATCGCTTTCTAAGAGACCAGATGTTCCCACCAAGCCAGGTTATCCCCCACCCCATTCCTGTGCTCCTTCAGGACCCTATAGTTCTTGCAAGCATTTGTCCCAACTGCATTTCACTATTTGTATAATTATTCATTTGTGGGTCTATCTCTTTTGCTAAACAAGCTTGAAGAATAACCAATAATCAGAGCTAACCCTTATTTAGTATATGCCAGGTACTGTTTTGGAACCTGTATTCAAATCCTACCCTATGAATAGAACTGTTACTAACCCCATTTTCACATGAGGAAACTGATACTTTGAGAAGTTAGTAACTTACCTGTGACTGTTCGGCCAGGAAGTGAACCCTGTACTCTTGAATCTGTACTCTTGGCCACCACGCTCTGTGAGTGAGGAGACCTAGTTTGTCTCATTCAGCTGTGCAGGTGGGCAGGAAATGGGGGTGGGTCGAGGCAAGGGCTGGCACTGAGCTGGCCCCGACCACTGGCTTCCACAGGCAGCCCCGGTGACCCTGCAGCTGCTCTTCTTGGACGGTGAAGAGGCACTGAAGGAGTGGGGACCCAAGGACTCTCTCTATGGCTCCCGGCACCTGGCCCAGCTCATGGAGTCTGTACCCCACAGTCCTGGTACCACCAGGATCCAGGCTATTGTAAGACAAGTGGTCCACTGGGTTCTGGCAAGGGAGGGAGGGGGTGAGGCAAGGTTGGCAGCATCCCACCTGGCCTCTCCAGTCCTGGCCTCTCTCCCCAGGAGCTCTTTATACTTCTTGATCTCCTGGGAGCCCCCTATCCAACCTTCTACAATCACTTCCCTCGCACGGCCCGCTGGTTCCATCGGCTAAGAAGCATTGGTAAGGGCGATGGTAGAGGCAGGCTCCAGCCTGGGCTGAGGGCAGGAGGGCTGGGATGGGGCAGGCACCTGTCTTCTAAGGGGTCATCCAGCCTTCCCTCTACCTCTGTAGCCTCTCTCTAAGGCACTAAAACAAAGGGTAAAATACAGAAAGATCCCACAGTGTAGTGGTTACAAACAGGGGCTTGGGGTCAGATAGCCCTGGGTTCGAATTCTAGCTCTCCTTACAAGCTGTGTGAATTTGGGCAAGTGGCTTCATCTCTGTGAGCCTCAATTTCCTACCTGTAAAGTGGGCATGATAGCGATGATAATTGGGGTGTCTACCTCTTAGACTCAGGGGGATGAAATGAGACCGGGAACATGGTACCCCTGCAGTAAGGGGTAACCAGCATTCATTCTTGCTGGAGGATGATGACCAGTTCTTTACCTTCAGACCCTCCTCTGATTTGTGAGCAGGGGAACCTCTGACCCCTAAGGGGCTGACCCTTGCTCTCTCATCCCCACTGCCTCCAGAGAAGCGCCTGCACCGTTTGAACCTGCTACAGTCTCATCCCCAGGAAGTGATGTACTTCCAGCCTGGGGAGCCCTTTGGCTCTGTGGAAGATGACCACATCCCCTTCCTCCGCCGAGGTACTTGCTGCAGGGAACAGTGTGGGGCAGAGGTCCAAGGGAGCCACAGATGGGACCTGGCTCAGCCTCTTCCCAGGGTGGGGGTCTGGTGGAAAGTTGTTTAACCTCTTTGTCTTGATTAGCTCATCTGTAAAATGGGGATAACAATACCCTCTATCTCAGCCCCTACCTTGTTGAGGAGATTGAATGTGCTAATACAAAATGTAAAGACCTTTCTTGGACCAGTGTCCGGCACATAACAAGCTTTGGAGAAATGTGACCTATGATTGTTTGTGCCTCAGCGATTGACAAGTTTCTTCTAGCCCTTACCTCTCAAGGCCCTGGCATCCCAGCAGAATCACCTGAGGAGCTTCAAAAATGCCCAGTCACATTTCAGGCCCACTGAACCGTAATCTTGGGGCTCTGCATTATTTTCACAAAACTCCCAGATGATTCTGACGCGTAGCTAGGGTTGAAGACATCTGGTAGAAGGGTTCAGAGCATATGTTTTAGAATTGGACGGTCTGGGTTCTAAAATCTGCGACTTACCACCAGTTGATCTAAGGCAAATTACTTATCCTCTCTGAGCCTGTTGCTTCTGGAAAATGAAGAGATACATACATAGAAAACACACGTCTATGTGTATACTCATAATCACGGGGTTGAAAGGATTAGATGAGATTAGGTATGTGAGATGCCTGCTTATACAGTGCTTGGCACATAGTGTTAAAAACTTTTGAAATTTTTACTCCATAATTTACTCATTCAACAAATATGCATTTGTACAACACCTTCTTTATTGATTCACTCAGTGAACACTTACCAAGGCAGGTCCTGAGCGAGATGTCAGGTATACAGTGATGGGCCCTAATCCGCCTGCCTCCTGTCTAGTGGGGGGACCAGTACTTAGCAAATGTGGACAAACACAGAGGGAAGTGCTCTCAGGATGGGAGTGCAATGTAGTGTAGCCTGGGTTCAAACCCTGACCGTTGTTTACTAGAGGCAGAACCTTAGGCAAATCACTCTGCCTGCTTCTGTGCCTCAGTGTCCACATCTGTAAAATGGCATTAATTACAGTACCCACCTGAAAGGATTATTACAAGGATAAAATGGAGTGTGTGTGTGTGTGTGTGTGTGTGTGTGTGTGTGAGATATGTATGGCCTTAGATTAGGGCCTGGAATAGAACAAGTACTAGGTAGTGTTAACTATCAGTAAACGAAGCCTAATAACATATACCTGGCGAGGACGGTCAGCTATCTTTTCCTTCTTCTGGTCTTTTCATAATCCATTGTTTTGAGTTTCTAATTTGTGTTATGAAAACAGTAGATATACTAGATATATTTTTTAAACTAACACATACCCTCACACACTTTAAAATCATTGTTCAGAGCTCTTTAAGTGCCAGGATAGTATCTCTTGGGGGTGGGGGAGGCCTGGGCTTCTGGTTCAGCTGCAGGTCTGACCGAATCTCCTCACTCCTGCAGGGGTCCCGGTGATCCATCTCATCTCCATGCCCTTCCCCTCTGTCTGGCACACGCCTGATGACTCTGAGGCCAACCTTCACCCACCCACGGTACACAACCTGAGCCGCATCCTCGCTGTGTTCCTGGCAGAATACCTGGGGCTCTAGCCTGCCCTGCTGACTGGAGGAGCAGCGCCTAGCAGGGGATGTGCCAAGGCCACCTGGAGCCAGCAGAGCTCAGGCCGGGCCCACCTCGGGTGTGCTGTCGTGTCCTTTTTAATTTTGGCTCTGCTCATGTTATGATTGGAAGACCCTCTTTCCTTTGACTATCTCAAGCTGCCACTCTTCAAAGACATGAAAGAGACCACTGTGGGGTGAGAGCCAAAGGAAAAAGAACTCAGCCCCTGCTCTGAGGGAAACACTTGGGCTGAAGGTTTGCGGGAGCTGAAGGTTTTCTCAGATTTAGTTAGCAAACCATGGACTGGCATATGGACCAGCAGCACCACCCAACCAAATGAATTCTCTGTGGCTTTCATTTTTGTGTCAGTTCATTTTCCAGAATGGCAACCTTGCTACTGCACCAGTCCAAGCCATGTGAGGCCCACAGAGGATGTGCTCATAAGCAGGAACAGAGATGAAAGCCACTATTTGGGAACGCAAGATTCTGCTAGGTCCAATGGGCAATACACCAGTGTTTCTGCAAAACATTCTGCAGAACTAGCATAATAGGTGTTGCATAGAAAAAGGGATCAAAGAAGCGGGGCAAGACAACATTAAAAGAATTTCATTGCATAATGTAAATTTTCAAGGGTAAGACAGAGAATGCAGTATTTTCCCAAAGTATTTCACCATGGAACCCCTTTTTTGGGCAGCACCTCACAGAACTACGGTACCTCAGAAGATACTTTGGGAAACACTGGGTTTTGATAGTTTTGAGTATGTTTATGGAAGGAATAAGACAGACCTAAAATCACTGCAAACTAGTTATACCAAACTATCCTGTTCCTTTTAGTTGTGGGTACAGGAAGGAGTGTGAGATGGTGGGTGTAACTGCAACTCTAGTCATGGCCTGAGGAAGTATTTCTCAACCCTACCTAATTTTCAGACTCAACTGGGGCGCTTATTAAAAAATGCAGACTTCCAGGTTCCACCCAGAGCTAATGAATCAGAACTCCAGGGAGGGACTGGGACTGTAATAAGTACCTGAGGAAGTCTCGTGATCAGCAAAGTTTGGGACACGCTATCCATAAGACTAGTTTTGTGTGTGCCTGGCTGCTTAGCAAACCTACTCCATAGCAAATGGTAACATGGAGGGCGCCTAGGAAGGGAGTCCTGTGCTGGGCCATGTGCCTGCTGGTTTTGTAACTTTGGTAGGTAGCAGGGATGTCAGGCCAGGATCAAGGGTTGTTATAGTCTTTTTTTTTTTTTTTTTTTAGCTGAGCCATCCTGCCACCTGTTGGCAGCTCAGTGGCAGCTCAGCTCGGGCCGGGCATCAAACCGCTGTTGCTCAAAGCTCAAACTCTTGAGCGAAGTCTTAACCAACTGAGCCACTTGGCCGGCCCTAAGGGTTGTGAAGTAGTGAAAGGTGAGCATTGGCCTCCCGAGCCAACTCAAGACTGGAGAAGACTCGAGAATTCAGGGGCTGAAACTCAGGATTCTTAATGAGAGGATAGAGGGCCTAGATTCACGTTCTTCCACAGTAGCTGACATTTACTGGGCACCTAGTGTACGTTCCAGGCACCACAGGCATTTTACATATATCAACTCAGTCTCCCCAAAGTCCTGAAGTAGGTACCATTTCAGTTCTCGTTTTGCAGATGAGAGGATCAGGTCTGAGGTTTATGAACCACTTGTTTACAGAGCCCAGATTTGCACATACAGCTGTGCTCCTAAACCCATGTCCTACCTCCCTTCCCCAAATCACCTGTGCTGGACCAAGAGCTTGTTGACAAAAAGCTCCTCCTGAGGCTTTTAAATGGCTGAAAGTTAGAGTGGAGTTGGGGAGGGGACCCTAGCAGATGAAGAGGTAGAACTGGCAGGAGTCCAGAGTTCAGAAAGGGAAATTGACAGACATCAGCAAGGCAGCAGGAGGCTCTCCAACCACAGGGAGATTCCTATCTGTTCATTTTTTGTGTGGCAGACCTGGTGCCAAGTACTTAAAGTGTACCATGTCCCTTTAGCCTCACAGCCGTCCCTGAAGTAGATGAAACCATCATCTCCTTGTTAGAGACAGGAAGTGGAGTGTTCGGTTACATTCCCAGCCCTCCAATGCCTTTGAGCCAAGACATCTTGGTTGAGTGTACTACACGGCAGACACTGGGCAAGGGGCATGATGCACATTTCTGCATGAATCTGGGGTAAGGACTGTGAGCTCCATTTTACAGATGAGGCTGCTGCCGCTTGGCAAGGTGTTCCCACCTCCCCTTCATCCCCCAAACTCACGGTCCCCCAGCCTCACGCTATGGAGGGACCACGAGGTGTTTTGATAAGCACAATTGTTGAGCACTCTAGACGTGATGTCTCACATGTCAATCTTTTGAGGAACTAGCAGTATTTTCATTTTTCAGATTAAGAAACAACTTCAGAGAAATCCTTTGCAGAAGACCACACAGTTGGATGCTTTCATGGCAATGTGTTGCGGTGTACATTTGAAAAAAAATTTGACTCATTGGGCGTATTGATCTTTCACCAGCCTGGAATTCAGAACCATCATCTTTAAATATCTTTGCATTATTTTCTCTTCTGATTCTAGAATGCCAATTAAATATTAGGCTTTCCCACTCTATCCTCTATAACCTTTCATATTTTTCCTTTTGTCTCTGCTACTTTTCAGACAGATCTCTGGTTCCATAGATCTTATTTCTGTTGTGTCTAGTTTGCTGTTTAGCCCAGCCGTTGACTTTTTATTTATATGTTTGTGGGGGTTTTTTCCATTCATATCTGCTAGGCCATTATTTAGTTCTGGATTCCCTGCAGATATTTCCAAGCTCTTGTATCTAATCTGTGACTAACAGTCTCATCATCTGAAGCCTGTGTGGGTCTGTCTTTGGTGGTGTTTCTGCTGGTTCTTGCTCATGCTGGTTTATTTCCATGCATGTTTGAGTATTTGACTATGTACTACTCATTGTCTAAAGATTATCTGTGGGGATTCTAGATCCTTCCACCAGAGGATTTATGTTTGTTTCTGCCAGACATCTTAGCTATAAGTACCCCGGAACATGTAATGAAATTTAGGCTGCAAATCTGAGCCAAGGGCCGGCCTGTGCCCTTAAATTCTCAGGTCATGTTTCCTTTCCTTTGGTCTTGTGTGCCCCTCAGCACTGAGAACATCTTCTCTGCAGTATTCTACATTATCCTTACCTGAGCTTGTAGTTCGGTGGGATCCCAATTCCTATTAGAGTCTCTGCCTTGGGCAGGCTTTGGTCTTGACTTCTTTTTTTTTTTTTTTTTTTTTTTTTTTAGCTGAGCCATCCTGCTACCTGTTCGCAGCTCAGCGGCTGCTCAGCTCGTGCTGGACTCAAACCGCTGTTGCTCAGAGCTCAAACTCTTGAGCGAGCTCTTAACCAACTGAGCCACTCGGCCGGCCCCTGGTCTTGACTTCTGCCTGCTTGTCCCAATAAGGCTAAAAATAAGGAACTCAAGCGTGTCCACATCAATCAGCAAATGCCTTCAGAGCAAAAGTGACTCTGGAGCCCCATGTATCTTTCCCTTAAATTTTCAGTTTTTGTGTCCTTAACTGTATTTTATTGACTATTTGATTCTTTTAAGATTTTTTTTTACTTCCCTTTTTCAGCAGGAGAGTCCAAATACTCTGGCCCTCCCTCCACAGGAAACTGAAGTCCCACAAAACCAAGCCAAGATTCAAACCCAGGTCTCTTTGATTCTAAATTCTAAGCATTGAATAACTAATATGATATATTCTAGTCTCTCTGGAAATTTTGATTCCCTGCTAAGACTATCAGAGGCTGTATTTTCCCTCTTCTTTTATACTTGAACTTTTTAAATGTCTTACCCCCGCTCCCCCTTTTAATTTAGTAAATAATTAGGTGAATATTTTAAAGCTTTCATCACAGGGATCTTTAGTAAAAGAGTTTTTTGCTGGGCATAATATACCCAGCTAAAAGACTGCATTCCCAGTCTCCACTGCAGCCCATCCATATGGCTAAGTTCTAACCAGTGAGATGTACACAGAAGTACAGTAAGTTCTCAATTAACACTGCCAATAGGTTCTGCAGCTTTAAGTGAAATAATGTATAATAAAACCAGTTTTACCACAGGCTAATTGATATAAATAAGAATTAAGTTCCTATGGCATCTCATCAATGTTATAACGAAACGATGTTGAACAAAATGATGTTATTTGCGGACCTGTTGTATAGTGTGGAAGGGGGCTTCCTTCCTGCAAAATGGTGATGGCCAGAGTTCTAGCTGCCATCTTGGACCATGAGGATGAGGGCCACAGACAAAGAATGATGGACTAGTAAGGTAGAAGGGGCTGGGGTTCCTGATGACGTCAGGGCCACCACATCTGCCCAACACTGGATTTCTAAAGGAATTAAAACGATCTTGTTTAAGCTACTACTGTTTGGAGATTTTCGAGTCCAAACTGACACAGATGAAGAGTAATCTCATGCCAAGGGACTTGGCTAAGAATCCTTTTCTCTCAACTTTTTCCATCTCACCATGCACGGGCCCATAACTCCCTTCTCTCCCAAACACCCTCCCTGAACAACACACAAACCAGTCTGGGCCCAGCCTTATAAATATGGATTTTATAGAAAGAACCAATTCAAAATTGGTCAGATGCCACACGCTAGAAGATTCCAGAACCACAGGGATGAAAAAACAAGAACAAAAAAAATCCCAAAAGAACAAAAACACCCCAGACCAAATTGCCTGAAAATCAAGGTCTCAGTTGACCAAAGGATTCTAAAGAAACATACAGCTGGGGGTGTAGAGACCCCAATGCCTGAACAAGTACCCAGAGCAGAAGGAAAAACGCAGAAATTCAAACCCACAGTCCCTGCCCGCTGGCCCCCCACGCTGTCAAGAGCGAGGCAAAGGGCTTCACAGCTTTTTTTTTTTTGGGGGGGGGGAGGTGGGGAGTGATACAATAGCTTAAATAATGGGAGGAGGGAAATTTTTATACTTCAACTCTTTTTCCCCTCTGGGGGAAGTGGAGAGACTAGTAGCTTGAGGTTCAGGAGAAAAATGTGGTTTTTATTTGTTTTAATGGGAAAAACATCTAGATATGGCAGGCAGGCTGCCATAAAACGTGTCCAGTTTGATCTGTAACGGGGTAGCCCCCAATTCCTAAAGAGGAGGTAAGCTGTGGGGCGGTAGGTTTGGAGAGGTACCAGCCTTGGGTGCTGCAGCCTCTTGGGAGAACACAGCTCCAGAGACAGCTGGTAGAAGGAGTGGAAGGGGGCTAGGATGGGGGAACCCTTAAGTAGTACCAAAATTAGCTGCCATCTGCTCCCTGCTGGTGGATCCCTGGGGTGTAGAGAGTGGCAGGGAGGGTGCTGGGGCTAAGTGGAGAAGAAACTTGAGATGATGATAAAAAACACCCTCCTTGAGGGTCCCCGGCCCTGGGTCTGAAGAGTAGAAAACCAATAGGGGTCAATCAGAGTGCTTTCTTGGGTCACCCCCGCACCTCCATCTCAGTTCTGGCAGGGGAATCAACGCTGCCTGGACTGGGGGTATGGGCTGGTGACCCGGTCCTGGGCCTTGGCTCCCAAGGGGAGGGGGTGGGGGTGGGCATGGTGGGCTCTCCCCCCCCCTCCCCCGGCTTCACCTCCCCTCCTCCCGGCCAGCCCTGCCACCACCCCCGCCTGGCCCGTTACAGGGCAGCACCCAGTTGTTATCATGCAGACCCAGGCGGCAGCCAGGTGTCTCGCGATCGGCTCGGCGGCAGCACATCCAGTAGGAACGTCCGTAAGGCAGGTCATGGTGGTACGGCTTGGGGTGCCAGCGGCAGAGCGACACATCGCCCTTCTCGTATCTCTTGCGGCACTGCTTGCAAGGGTCATCCCGGTAGAGTGGGTCGCGGCTCCAACGCGAGTCTGTGGCCCGCACTCCAAATGCCTCAATGATGCCCTTGAAGTGGTGGCAGGTGCATTTGAGGGCCGCCAAGGCCCGGGTGGGCAGGAAGCTGAAGATCTTGACCAGCACGTGCTCGGGCAGCAGTAGCATGTATTGTCTCGGCTCCAGAAGCCTTTGGATCTTGAAGCGGATCTCCAGGAAGTCATGCGACACGTGCCGGTACAGGCGGCACAGGGAAGTGTCCGCCGTGCCCTCGGCATCGTCAGGACCTGGTGCGGTGGCTGGTGAGTCGGCTGGGGGTGGCTCGGGGGGCCCATCTGGCCCACGGGACTGGAGGAAAAAGAGCTGGCCAGGTGGGGGCGGCTCCTCGGGGCTGACTGTCAGGCACACCGTCTCCTCTTTCACGTTCTTGGTGCCATCCTTGCCAAAGAAGATGCACTCATCTACCACGCCAGTCACTACCACATCCACATGGAAGCCAGATGCTCCGCAGTCCCGGGCAGGGGGTGGAGGGGGAGCCGGGGGAGTGTCCTCAGGCCTGGCAGGGGCTGGGGTCTCCCCCTCATTGGCTTCATCTGCCCTGGCCAGAAGAAACTCCACATTGCTGGGGAGGGCGTCCCGAGAGGGGCTGATTAGCTGGTACAGGTCGCAGGTGATCTTGTCCTTGGCTCGGGCCCCAGGCCCTGGGCTGCCAGGGTAGGCACAGCCGGGCCGGCCCCCACTCCCATTGGGCAAGCTGCCATCTGGTGCACGGGGCTCTCGGCCATTGGAGATGCGGAAGGCAATGCGCACCTCCCCGGGGCCTGGCCCAGGCCGCTCCTCCTTGCGAAGGCCCTTGGCTGGAGGGTTGTCCCGCTGGGCCTCGAAGTGGGCCACTGCCTCAGCTACACGGCTGCAGTCCCCGCCACCAGACCGCCGTTCGGACCCCAGTCCCTTGGCAGGCCCGCCCTGCTCTGCTGACACAAAGACCACAGGCGCTGGGGTGCCAGGGCGTGGGTAGTTCTGCAGGGCCAGGGCAGCCCGCTGTTCCACCAGGGCCACCATCTCAGCCACAGAGAGCAGATCCACATCCTCACTGGCTGAGGCTGGGGGCCCCTCAGCAGCAGGGGGCCCCTCCCGGCCCCCTGGGTCTGGCGGAGCTTTAGTAGGCTCAAGACAGCGCCTCCTCCGTTTGGCCTTGGAGCTGTCACTGCCCCAGTGCCCCTTGACCTTCATGGAGCTGGCCCGGCTGCCACCACCACACTGGTGAGCCACAAAGAAGGCCACCTTCTCCTTTGTATTCCCGGGCTTGATAACATACCATGTGTCCAGCAGGACTCGACCCTCGTCGCCAGCAGCTGCTGCTGAGAGGAGCGGAGCAGGCTGGGAGGCAGGGGCCTCTGAGGCCAAGACGGGAGGTGTATTCTCTGAGTGTGAAGGCCCGTGGTCTGGCTCAGCCCCACTGCTTGACTCAGGGCAGGCTGATGGCTTAAGGGCTGCGGAAGGCGGGCGTGGCTGGTTCTGTGAATAGGTGCCAAAGGGCCGGGGGCACCATAGCTGGAAGGGCAGGAGGCCACCGCGGTCCATTCTGGGCAACGGTGGCAGATAGGGGCTCACTGCATCTCAGGGCCTAGATGGTGGTGGGGGAATGCCACAGGCCACCTGGAGACAGGAGAGAGGAGGTTGGGGAGCTGGGGGAGCCTGCCCTCTAGTACCACCCAGACCTCAACCTCTCTTGATGGAACAGGCCAAATTAGGCCACCAAGAACTCCATTCCTTCCCCGCTGCACAGGTGAGCGAATGGAGGGTTGCAGAGGAGGCAGGACCTGTTCTTTTAACACCCAGAGCCTGGAGGCAGCTGGCAGCTTGCTCCAACGCTACAGATCATACATACTTCACTGCCTGACTGCCTTCACTCCTGATCTAGAGGCCTGCCACCATAACCCTTAAACTTTAGTGACAATACCAACTAACATACAGCTCAACCTTTTTCTATTTGCTCACCCAGTAGCCAGTTCCTAAAAAGACAAGAATTCCCAGCCCTGCCCACGGCTATGGCTGCTTAGGCCAATGGAGGAAGGAATGAAGTGGGCTGGGTGGGGGAAGAAAATCTGAGGTCAGAGCCAGACAGGCTCTTAAAAAATTATTGTAGCTCTTCACTTTGTTCAGGTTGTAGGGATCTTTGAGAATTTCTCAAAGCTGTGTATCTTCCTCCAGAAAAATGTACATACTTGCACAAGACTATGCAGGTAATTCCGCTAAGAACAGCCACAGACCTCTGGGACAAGAAGGCCTGTGCTAGTCTCCTCTCCAAGATGCACACAAGTAAACTGAGGCTCACAGTGGGGAAGGGTTACGTAGTGCAAAATCAGGTCCTCATACTTGCTTTCTGAACTTTTCAATTCAGAACTCTTAGTAATGACCATTTTATTTTGCAACAAGTTTGTGTGCATGACCTAATCTGGAGGTACTTCTGAGGGTCGGACATGACCACTTTCCACTGCAGGACCAACAGGGAGCATATCCCTGTCTCAATCCTTCCCTGGCCCTTCTCCTTCCAGACACCAAAATCCCCTCCAAACCTCAAACCTTCCACATGCCTATAGACCAGGTCAGCAAACTATGGCCCATGGGCCAAATCCGATCCACTGCCTGTCTTTGCAAACAAAGTTTTATTGAAATATGCTCATTTGTTTAAGGCTGCTTTCACACTACAATGGCAGAGTTGAGTAGTTGCAACAGAGAGCATATGGCCTTGCAAAGCCTACAATATTCATTATCTGGCCCTTTATGGAAAAAGTTTCCTGACTGCTGCAGTATAGACTGCCCCTCTAAATATAAACAATTCCACAAACACCACTAAAACCCCATCACTTCATGGTGCTGTAGACACCATTCAAAATCCAGACAGCCTTCAAACACCAGTCACAAAGAGAGTCCTAATCCTACAAATCTTTACCCCCATAATCCCTAATCCCACCTATCCCTCAAATACTTACAACCCCTGCTGAAATTCCAATTCCTAGCTAAAATCAATCAATCAATCAATCAATCAATCACCATATGGCCCCTAAAACCTATAGATGGTTAAGTTTACCAACCACCAATATACATCTAAATGTCTAGGAACAGAAGCTAACACAGCAAAGACCATTTTCTATAGATGCTATCCCTCTATAGCAGCAGTTCTCAACCTTCCTAATGCCGCGACCCCTTAATACATAAAATTAATGTATGGTGACCCCCAACCATAAAATTATTTTCGTTGCTACTCTATAACTGTAATTTTGCTACTGTTATGAATCGTAATGTAAATATCTTTTTGTTTNAGCTGAGCCATCCTGCTACCTGTTCGCAGCTCAGCGGCTGCTCAGCTCGTGCTGGACTCAAACCGCTGTTGCTCAGAGCTCAAACTCTTGAGCGAGCTCTTAACCAACTGAGCCACTCGGCCGGCCCCTGGTCTTGACTTCTGCCTGCTTGTCCCAATAAGGCTAAAAATAAGGAACTCAAGCGTGTCCACATCAATCAGCAAATGCCTTCAGAGCAAAAGTGACTCTGGAGCCCCATGTATCTTTCCCTTAAATTTTCAGTTTTTGTGTCCTTAACTGTATTTTATTGACTATTTGATTCTTTTAAGATTTTTTTTTACTTCCCTTTTTCAGCAGGAGAGTCCAAATACTCTGGCCCTCCCTCCACAGGAAACTGAAGTCCCACAAAACCAAGCCAAGATTCAAACCCAGGTCTCTTTGATTCTAAATTCTAAGCATTGAATAACTAATATGATATATTCTAGTCTCTCTGGAAATTTTGATTCCCTGCTAAGACTATCAGAGGCTGTATTTTCCCTCTTCTTTTATACTTGAACTTTTTAAATGTCTTACCCCCGCTCCCCCTTTTAATTTAGTAAATAATTAGGTGAATATTTTAAAGCTTTCATCACAGGGATCTTTAGTAAAAGAGTTTTTTGCTGGGCATAATATACCCAGCTAAAAGACTGCATTCCCAGTCTCCACTGCAGCCCATCCATATGGCTAAGTTCTAACCAGTGAGATGTACACAGAAGTACAGTAAGTTCTCAATTAACACTGCCAATAGGTTCTGCAGCTTTAAGTGAAATAATGTATAATAAAACCAGTTTTACCACAGGCTAATTGATATAAATAAGAATTAAGTTCCTATGGCATCTCATCAATGTTATAACGAAACGATGTTGAACAAAATGATGTTATTTGCGGACCTGTTGTATAGTGTGGAAGGGGGCTTCCTTCCTGCAAAATGGTGATGGCCAGAGTTCTAGCTGCCATCTTGGACCATGAGGATGAGGGCCACAGACAAAGAATGATGGACTAGTAAGGTAGAAGGGGCTGGGGTTCCTGATGACGTCAGGGCCACCACATCTGCCCAACACTGGATTTCTAAAGGAATTAAAACGATCTTGTTTAAGCTACTACTGTTTGGAGATTTTCGAGTCCAAACTGACACAGATGAAGAGTAATCTCATGCCAAGGGACTTGGCTAAGAATCCTTTTCTCTCAACTTTTTCCATCTCACCATGCACGGGCCCATAACTCCCTTCTCTCCCAAACACCCTCCCTGAACAACACACAAACCAGTCTGGGCCCAGCCTTATAAATATGGATTTTATAGAAAGAACCAATTCAAAATTGGTCAGATGCCACACGCTAGAAGATTCCAGAACCACAGGGATGAAAAAACAAGAACAAAAAAAATCCCAAAAGAACAAAAACACCCCAGACCAAATTGCCTGAAAATCAAGGTCTCAGTTGACCAAAGGATTCTAAAGAAACATACAGCTGGGGGTGTAGAGACCCCAATGCCTGAACAAGTACCCAGAGCAGAAGGAAAAACGCAGAAATTCAAACCCACAGTCCCTGCCCGCTGGCCCCCCACGCTGTCAAGAGCGAGGCAAAGGGCTTCACAGCTTTTTTTTTTTTGGGGGGGGGGAGGTGGGGAGTGATACAATAGCTTAAATAATGGGAGGAGGGAAATTTTTATACTTCAACTCTTTTTCCCCTCTGGGGGAAGTGGAGAGACTAGTAGCTTGAGGTTCAGGAGAAAAATGTGGTTTTTATTTGTTTTAATGGGAAAAACATCTAGATATGGCAGGCAGGCTGCCATAAAACGTGTCCAGTTTGATCTGTAACGGGGTAGCCCCCAATTCCTAAAGAGGAGGTAAGCTGTGGGGCGGTAGGTTTGGAGAGGTACCAGCCTTGGGTGCTGCAGCCTCTTGGGAGAACACAGCTCCAGAGACAGCTGGTAGAAGGAGTGGAAGGGGGCTAGGATGGGGGAACCCTTAAGTAGTACCAAAATTAGCTGCCATCTGCTCCCTGCTGGTGGATCCCTGGGGTGTAGAGAGTGGCAGGGAGGGTGCTGGGGCTAAGTGGAGAAGAAACTTGAGATGATGATAAAAAACACCCTCCTTGAGGGTCCCCGGCCCTGGGTCTGAAGAGTAGAAAACCAATAGGGGTCAATCAGAGTGCTTTCTTGGGTCACCCCCGCACCTCCATCTCAGTTCTGGCAGGGGAATCAACGCTGCCTGGACTGGGGGTATGGGCTGGTGACCCGGTCCTGGGCCTTGGCTCCCAAGGGGAGGGGGTGGGGGTGGGCATGGTGGGCTCTCCCCCCCCCTCCCCCGGCTTCACCTCCCCTCCTCCCGGCCAGCCCTGCCACCACCCCCGCCTGGCCCGTTACAGGGCAGCACCCAGTTGTTATCATGCAGACCCAGGCGGCAGCCAGGTGTCTCGCGATCGGCTCGGCGGCAGCACATCCAGTAGGAACGTCCGTAAGGCAGGTCATGGTGGTACGGCTTGGGGTGCCAGCGGCAGAGCGACACATCGCCCTTCTCGTATCTCTTGCGGCACTGCTTGCAAGGGTCATCCCGGTAGAGTGGGTCGCGGCTCCAACGCGAGTCTGTGGCCCGCACTCCAAATGCCTCAATGATGCCCTTGAAGTGGTGGCAGGTGCATTTGAGGGCCGCCAAGGCCCGGGTGGGCAGGAAGCTGAAGATCTTGACCAGCACGTGCTCGGGCAGCAGTAGCATGTATTGTCTCGGCTCCAGAAGCCTTTGGATCTTGAAGCGGATCTCCAGGAAGTCATGCGACACGTGCCGGTACAGGCGGCACAGGGAAGTGTCCGCCGTGCCCTCGGCATCGTCAGGACCTGGTGCGGTGGCTGGTGAGTCGGCTGGGGGTGGCTCGGGGGGCCCATCTGGCCCACGGGACTGGAGGAAAAAGAGCTGGCCAGGTGGGGGCGGCTCCTCGGGGCTGACTGTCAGGCACACCGTCTCCTCTTTCACGTTCTTGGTGCCATCCTTGCCAAAGAAGATGCACTCATCTACCACGCCAGTCACTACC